AGGAATAGTGGCTCCGGGCGTGACATTAGGTCCTCCGCCGTGCATCTTAAGGGCCCGAACAGTGGCCACCAAAACAGCACAATCAGGGAATATGCCTTTCAAACAGTTAGTATTTAGTATTATTAGCGATTCAATCACTAATATAGTGAACCATTAGCTTACCTGATGTCCTGGACTTTATGTTAACAAACTTTTCAAATCCAATATCAGCGCCAAATCCACATTCAGTCACTATTTTAGATATGATTGTTATATTTTATGCTTTGGAAAGATACACATAGCATTCACATACAAACATAACCCTTTTCTCCCACTAAATCCAAAGCAATTTTGTCGGCAATTATTGATGAGTTACCATGTGCTATGTTAGCAAATGGACCTATACTTAAACCAATAATTCTATTAAGATTCTGATTCATTAAACATATTCTGGATTTTAATAATTGATACCGCAGTGAACAAAGACAGGCGTTCCTTCCAATGACTGCATTAAAGTGGGTTTTACTGCATCTGTATTTGTAAAATAAATAATTAATTTATTATACATAATATATGAATTCTGTATAAATATACCTTTAATGAGAACGGTTACAGCGCCGGTAACTCCTAAATCATCGCAAGTGATGGGAACAGGGTTTTCATCCTTAGAATAGGCGACAACTATCCGTCCAATCCTTTCTTTAGCGTCGCCTAAGTTATCGCAAAGCGCCAGAATTGCCATCAATTCACTCGCAACTGATATATCAAATTGTGTCTATAAATGACATTTTAATCAATCACTTAATTCACAACATCTTGTTTTTTAATAATTACTTTTCTTGAAAAGCCCTTCTCTGTGGGCGCCTCTCCGATAGTAATTTGACGCAAATATCTATCGTTTACGTCCATAACTCGATTCCAAGTAATAGAGTCCGGGTTTATATTAAGCCGAGCGAAGGCTGACTTCTGTTCAGTAGATAATTCATTTGGAGCGAGATTTGTGGGAATTCTTAGCTTTTCAAGTCTTCGCAATTGTATGGCAGAAAAGACTCGCTTTTTGCCGGGCTTTGGACGCAAAATTGTGGTCACAATTTATGCTAAAATCGACTCAATATACTGAACGCTAACAATACCTTTGAGGGAACAATTCGACTGAACAAAGCGGTGTCCGATTGAGTGGATTCGTGAAATATTCGGGCGTCAATTGCGGCCGAAACCAAGTTATTGGCCGCAGTTATAGCATGAATATCGCCTATTATTGCATTCATTTGCGTTATAAATACTCTCAAATAATTTCAATTAAAAATACCCGTTAAATGTAGATTAAATTCATCCATAGGAATGACCTGCGAATACCCACCGCCCGCAGCACCGCCTGAATTGGGTTGGATTACAACAAATGTAATGCAATTTCATAGCAAATGTAGAATAAGACCTTTAATGCCAAAAGTCGGGCCCTGACTCGGCTGTCGTATGCATGTAATCACATTTCGATGCAAATTAGCGCCCAATGCTTGCGATAAACCCAATACTGTTGTACTTTTTGCAAATGTAGAATAAAACCTTTAATGCCAAAAGTCGGGCCCTGACTCGGCTGTCGTATGCATGTAATCACATTTCGATGCAAATTAGCGCCCAATGCTTGCGATAAACCCAATACTGTTGTACTTTTCCCTAAATTTTACGATCATTATTACTGTAGCTATAAAAACGGTTCCCAAGAGATACTGTATTAACGACTATACCTTCTCCGAGAGGAGTGGGTGTAATACCAGTGACCACAACATACTTCCCTCGAACTGAGTTCTTGTCAAAGACGGGAATATGTTTTGTAATTTTTGCTTTATATGCTCCGTATGGCTCGTATTCGTCTTCCAATAAACCGATTTCAGCGGCCAATTGTTTAATTGGTTTACAGCGATGGGAACGGGCTATCGCTATATCGCTGAATACGATAATCACCACTAAATGTAATTATTTTGCAAACAATATATGGTTAACGGTTACAAACCTGGGAACGGGATTCAGTTTATTGAGTTTCAAGTGCTCGATATCCCACGACTGGTGAGACGATTGTGTTCTCAATGCCTAAAATGCATTAAACTTTCAGTTTTCTTAATGACAATTGTTTATTATGTTGCTGACATTTTTATCAACAATTTTAATAAATTCTTTAATAAATCATAATTTGTTTATGTTTTTTGCAATGAATAAAATTGTTTTTGTATAACTTCTATGACAATTATCGTATTTAACACTAAGACGTCTATCAGTGGTATAAGTGCTATAAATGGTATAGTTTTTCAAAAATGTATTTCAAAAATCAAAAGGGATTTTCTCAAACAAAGTTTCTAAGTTTCAGTGTCTTTATCTCTGTTTACATAATGAACTAAATGTACAGTTATATCAGTTGCAGATAATACTTCGTAAATATATTTTATAGTAAATTTTAAGATTTAAAAATTAATTAAAAAAAATATCACTAAAGTTTAAAGTTTTATTTAACAATTTAAGCAAAACTTCTTTGTAATAAATTTTTATATAAAATTTAAAATAAATTAATTTAACTGTAAAAACTTACCTGGATAATATTAAACATATAAAGACAATACACATAAACATTGGGACAAATAAATATATTGTATGCAACGGTAATTTAAAAATTTAATATTCAAAAATACCCGAATTGATAAAAATCTGCAAAACATGTTACAAAATATTGGCTAAAGTTTTAAAATGTTTGTAACTTTTCATTGAAATAAATGACATATATATTTTATAATAATTCTTTGCAATATATTTAATCGATTTCAAATTTAGTTTATATAAATTTTAACATGTTACAAATTGTCTAAAACTGATAACACAATCAAAATTTATATCAATTTATGATTTTATTTCTACCAAACACTACAACGAAATTCAATGGTATGTCTTAAGAATCAAATTAAAGTTAATTCAATTCACAGATTCCTTTCATTACTTTATTTAAATTTAATATTTTTATTCAAGTATTGCTGAAAAATAATTTTATTACAAATATCTATAGAAAATATGAAATTTAAATAAAGCATAAAAACTGTGTATTGAACGTATAATACACGGGTTCTGTACATCTCAATGATTGGCTATTTTTATAACTTACAATAAATTTAATTATATTTTAAGTACAATAATATAACAATTAATATAATTAATGTTAATAATCAACGAACAATTGTTAGAATGACTTGATTTTATTAAAATTCATTACATTTTCCATAAAATAATACATTATTTTATTCTTGAATTTCATTTACTTACCACTTTTGCCGCATCGACTGTATTACTGATAAGCATAGCTACGGTCATGGGTCCAACACCGCCCGGCACTGTCCAGTCAAACGATATTTACAAATGCATTAAATAATAGTTGAATAGAAAGAACAACAAACCTGGTGTTATAGCACCGGCCACTTCTTTGCACTCCGCATAGTCTACATCCCCAACAAGTCTGGAACCACTCTTTTTGGTCGAATCGGGAATCGAGGAAATGCCACAATCAATGACAACGGCTCCTAGAATTCGAGTTAACATTTAATTAATCAAACAATTGTATTACAAGAATAAGTTTAATGCAAACCCGGTTTAATCCAATCCTTTTTGACGAGCAATGGCTGTCCAATCGCTACGACAAGGATATCAGCATTTTGGACAATTTCCTTAATATTTTTGGTCTTCGAGTGACAGACAGTGACCGTCGCGTTGTTCCAGATTAGCAACTGAGCCATCGGTGAGCCCACAATCTTACTTCGCCCGACAACCACAGCGTTGGCGCCTAATCCACACAATCCTCGGTTATCCATAATTAAACATTCATATGGTTTATAAGAAACAAACCGGCGATTTGAGCCCCGGATCTCCTGATCAGTTCCATACAGCCATTTGGAGTACAGGGCAGGAAACTGTTGCTCCCGTCCGCCTCTCCGTGCAATAGTTTGCCCGCATTTTCATTCGACAAACTATTATCAAAATTAGTTTAATATTAATGACAACAAAACCAGGGATTCATTGAATGGTGACCAACCCGTCCACGTCTTTATAGGGCGCCACTAGATTTGTGATCTTATTTGCATCGATCGGATGCACGGAATCAAACGGCAACTGAACTATAATCCCGTGAACCGACTTATCTTTGTTGAGTTCATCCAATTTTCTGATCAACTGTTGCGTAAAAAACGTTAAATGTTTTAATCATACATAAAGTGGTGACAATGTCTTAGACGCGGACCTCATTCTCATTGGTAGTGTTTGGGAGTTGGATGTGATTGGCTGTCACTCCCACCGATTCGGCGAAGTTCTTCTTCATACGGATGTAGACATTGGAGTCCTCCCGACCGCCGACCTGAACAATAGCCAACACCGGCGCCAACGATAACTTCTTCACATCTTCGCGCAGTTTATCGCGAATCTGTTCCGACACTTCTTTACCACTCAATACTTTAACCATTTTGTTGGTCACAGAACTGTTCCAAACAATCAATTAATTAATTAACTAAAAAAATTATATCAAATCCCAAGTGTTTCTCAACTCAGAAATGAGAGACAAATTAATCGCTAAAAACAATGATTAAAAATAGTTTGCGTTAAAAGAGAGTAAATGTAATGAATATATAAGTCATATAGAAATTAATGATTAGTTTTTTCTAAACTATTGATTAGATTTTAATATCAGAAGAAAAACAGTTGAAATCAAATCAAATGATATTATATTCACAAATAAGAGACAAATAAAAGTTTAGTTTCTGTTTGAAAGCAAATGAATCGACACTAAAAGCCCAGTGAATAGGATATCATAGAAATCATATTATTATAGGAATAAGAAAAAATCCTGTATTTTAGCTTCTCTGCATTGCCTCCACTGTTTGAAACTATGCAATGCATTTGAATAGGGTAAACGGCATTCAAGAAATATAAATATATTACGTAAATTTACGGTAATTTTAAATTCATTTAAGGTAATTTATGTTTCATAGCATTTATGCAATTTATTAATAAATATATTTTAAATGTATACATTTTTCAAACTTTTCAGAATTTTTATGCTCTTACCATCTATTTGGTGTAGTTTTTATCATATTATTATAGGAATAAGAAAAAATCCTGTATTTTAGCTTCTCTGCATTGCCTCCACTGTTTGAAACTATGCAATGCATTTGAATAGGGTAAACGGCATTCAAGAAATATAAATATATTACG